TAAAATTTTATGATGTGATTTTTGTGTTTTGTATTTTAGTATGATATTTTATATCAATAAGGGTATTTTTATTTTAATGACCAAAACACCGGAATTTCAAACCGCATATTTTACTGTTTTTGACAATAAAGATTGAATTGAATTGAAACAATAGTATATCCCATTACTTAGGCCTACCTGTTACCTGATAATTCGAAAAAAAAGCGAATATATACCTTGGATGGAGATCAAACAAACCCATCTAACTACAGGCCAATTTCAGTATACTTGATAAATTATATGATGTTTGTATTAGATCAGACGAGATCGCTGCTACATGAAAATGTAAATACGCCGTTTAACATTATCAAGAGAGAGATTAATTAAATTGTTCTTAGCTAACAAACTGAATATGATTAATTATTATTAATTAAATATTATTATTATCAATTATTAATTAGTTTAAAGAATATGATTGGTTTGTTTAAGTAACACTTGTTGGTACGTTTTTCATGTTTATGTATAAGCGCATAGAGGTCTCCATAATATGCACGAAAGTCGAACATTAACATTATTATTGTGTTAAAGAAAAAATATATCATTTTCAGGGGTAAAAATAAACCAATCTACTACATTGGTAACAATGTGTTAATTATGAACAATAATACTTGATAAATTCGTAACTCTCAAACACCATGTAATTATATAGCCAACAAAATCTCTAATATGATTGGTTTTTACCGTACAACATTTTATTAACTATATACAATTCGTTAATTCTCTCAGTTATATATTATTGACGTCTATGGGGTCACTGACTCCAACAATATGAACCGTGTTCTTATTTCACAAAAAAAAAATAAAAAATAAAAATAAAAAAAACCTTAAGAAGTGTATGCAACAACCATTCAACATCCATCTTTGCCGTTATTCATTAAAACAAATTCTCTCACAGTGAATGGTATTTATAAGAACATCTCAATATTTATGTATAAATACTATACCGTACAGGACAAGTTTCAGTGTCCCCTTTTCAGACTTTTTATATAGATATGGTACAAGAAATAAAGATAATTTGTGTATAGCAAAAAATAAACACAGATCATGAGACAAAGGGGCTTAACATAGGGCCTAAAATATGGAACGCACGATTTTAATAAAGAATTAAGACTTAGTACGGTATCAGAATATCTATATTCAAAAGAAAATTAATTAACCATTATTATGAAAACTATAAGTATAATGTTAACCTATGTACGAATGATTGTGTTATATGAAATAATAACTTATTTACAGGATTCGTAATGGCTTTATTTGATTGTTATTATATTTATTTATTTATTTTTATTACAGTAGTTAAATATATTTATAATAAAAGTGCGCCCGTTATAAAGCTCGCTTACTGTGGCGACCTCTTTTCCACTATATTTGAATGTCCTGCTACATTTTCTCTGTATACTTATTTTTGTGTTGATGTAGAAATAAACTTTTTATTGAATTGAATTGAGAAAAAATGAACTGAATAAAAAAGAGAGCTCAGCTCAAGTTGATATATGACAACCAATTATGGTTCAGGCCAAAATTCTCAACGTCGCCAGCCCTAATAAATATAACAGAGATACCACAAGGTAGTATACTAGTAGGCCTACCACTGATATTTATAACCGTTTTTGCCTTAATAACGACTTGCCAAATCACGTTGAACAAGTAAAAAACAATTTGTACAGAGACGATATTGCGTTAAGGTATATTATGCGCCAAACGATATTGATGGTATTGATACATGTTAGGAATTGGTTGGCAAAAACATAAGTTAAGTCTAAATGTAAAGAAACTGTATGACTATTGGAACCCCCCCCCCCAAAAAAAAAAAACCAGATAAATTAACATAAGATTTATTACAATTTTACTTGAATTTAACTTCAGGCTAGTACGATAGTGTTACGCATTATTGTGATGTAGTATGTTGACCTGTTTTAACTCTAAGTTAATTAAGTAAGTTTGATAAGAAGAACAACTCTTAAGTTTCAGGACAGCTCCACTGGCACCACACCACTGATTCAGACCCAGAATCTTAACAACTACAACCACTTAATAAAATCCATAGACGTTAGCTACTGCCACTGCATCACCAGCTATAGGCCCCTAAACCACATTGTCACACTATATTTTATAAGGATGATTGAATAAATGAATAATTCATGAGTTTTTGCTTCGCCATCCTACGGAAAACAAGATTGCGTGCTGTTTTAATATAATATTGAAACAATCTATTTCTGTGACAAATATAAATACAAAAGGCAAATTATTCCACAATTAAAAATCTTTTTCTGTGACAAACCTAAAATGTAAATACAAAAAGCAAATTATTCTACAATACTCTCAATTAAAAATCTAATAAATGATAGCAATTTATTATAATGCTCTCTAATTAATAATTATGAGTTCACCATAACTATTATTTGTTTTTTTAGTTAGTTATTTTTTACTTCTGTTCATTTGCGTATGTAATTTTCAAGGGGCAGTTTAGACAAGCACAGCTTTTTAACTGTTCATTGTCCACTTTACAATACTTTATTTTATGTGGATGAATGTTATATTGAATTGAATTTGTGTGGATGAATAAATGTTATTTTTAATTGAATTGATAAAATATGAATACTTGTTATCTGAATCGAAGTCGTTTTTTTAGTACGAAGTAGTATCAACATAAAAGCATCGCCGATGTCGCTTTCAGACCGATAGGGCCTACAAGAAATACGGATCAATCAATATAACATTATTTATCATCTACTATATTTACTTTCATATTTTTATTATGCTTTTGTTAATTTTGTATGAGGAGCAATAAACTATCTTCACCTAAATCTGAATTGGAGGCTAACATTTCGAATTTTCTCAAAATAATTTTAAAAAAGAAAATTAAACTAACCTAGGCAACAAACGCCAATTCAAAATAAAATTGTGACAATATTTTTAAGAAAACATTATTTTTTTTTTTATATCAATATATTTTTTCTTAATTTTGAGGAGGGGGTACGGCTGCCTCCCGCCCTTCCCATTGGACACGCCGCTGACTTTACAAACAGTACGTATTATTGTTTTACAAGAATTGTTTTTGTTGTATTGCCTTCTGCCGCCCTCTAGTATTGCGTATAGCGCCCTCTATAAAGTGTGCACTTTCTATAAAGATGTCTGCGCCCATAGATAAAAATCCGTCTTTTTAGTTAACGGGGTAGGCCTATGGTAGTACATTTTTCTCTCAAGTTCACAAACAACATTTCAGTTCTGTCATTTATACCTTATTTTATGTGTGACACCGGCAAATGCACATTCACATCCTATAGCTAATTAAGGCTAAAAGGGCTAGGCCTAGAAAGGCCCTTTTCCCTAGCTAGGTAGGCTAGGCTAGGCCGGCGCTAGGTCTAGACTAGTTTGTACTAGGCTAGGCCGCCGCCTACTGGGCCAAGGCTAGTAGCATGCTAGGCGAGACAGCACACACAAGCCTAAGTATCTTTATTTTATGTAGGTCCTAGCATACTGTAAAGTTTTCAATTACTCGGAGCATACCTAAAAAAAAACAGCTCAAATTTGCGCAGAAATCGAAATACTGAATTATTACATCGTTTGTAGATTAGATCAGAGTCTTATAAAATCTGCGCAGGAAATCAGCCCTTATTTTCCGAAATGCAGATGGATTTCCTGCACAGGCCTTACCATACAGTCTGAGGGCCCTGGAGGTTTCCAGAATTAACCAAAAGATGATACAAGATACTAAAAAAGACACGGCAAGACAAATCGTACTTTAATTGTATAAAATACACTACTGAATGGTACAAAAGTATGCAAAACATTTACCGTAATGGTCCTTAATAGGGCTGCTTGTTTATCGTGTTGCGGTGGCAAATGCATTTAATGATAACGATCAAATTTATGCATAAATGGGAGTATTTTGCGGGGGACCTGTAAAATCAGTTAAATCGTGTGAAAATTACATTCGATCTGGAGATCTTGAGATTTGTTTAAATATTGGGGGACATCCGATAGGTTCAGGTGAGTTGGCAGGTCTGCTCTGTTGTCCACCAGAAAATGGTGGGCCTCCTGCCAGATAGCTTCATACCCCTCCCCTTATATATCGTAGAGCAACCACTGGCTAAAATTCACAATTAATAATTATTCCTGGCTGCAGGTCTCTGAAGATTTCTGTAATGAAGCATTTTGTAGTTGTAGCATCCCGTAACATGCTCCTCGCTCGTAATTCAGTCATTGGCTTGCGCCATGCATCATCCTCAGCGGGGCTCAGCACCGAGCAACTCATAGACCGCATCATTCGTGTTGACCATGCAGGGGAGCTTGGAGCTGATCGGATATATGCTGGACAGATGGCTGTCCTTGGTAAAACTGATGTTGGTCCAGTTATACAAGTAAGAGTTCTGAATAGTGGAATTGATCTGTTGATAGTATATAAAAATTGTTATGGTTAATGAAAAATTAAACTGTTTATTAATTATTAACTCTATTAAAATATTGAACTGCTTAATTAAAAAAATCAAATAAGTTAAAAGTGCAGTAGTGGTAGCCGTGTTAGTCTTTAAAAAAAATTAAACAAGTAATGAAGAGGCAGCACTCTCAGACTAACTTTAAAGATGTAATTTTATTGAACACGAGCAAAATTACATCTTTAGCCTGAGAGTGCTGCCTCTTCATGACCTGTTCAAGTAAGTTAGTAATCTTTTAATCAGACACAGATCACAACAAATCAGCATTTGCTAATTTGTTTGTTTTTCCCAGAGACCAAAGCGCTGTACAAAAATAGATACAATGTATCTACTGTATTACACAATTCAAAGCACATAAAGAATAAGAAATTTACACATTCAAAAAATTACAAAAGCATACAAAATTGCGCAAAGAAAAGATTACAAAGTGAATTTACTACAAAGTTGATTACTATCCAAATTAAATTTCTGTACCTGGATGGACATATTACATGAGGTTGCTATCCCAAAACTAGTACTGTATATGGTCTTTAATTGTAAAACTGAGTAATTAGCATAAAGCTATGTCTACACTATCAAATTTTGTGTGACAAAAAAGTGTGATATGCCCATATATGGTCATGATGACATCACACCATGACCATATATAGGCATAGCATTACTATATATGGGCTTGTCACATTTTTTTGTCAAAGTAAATTTGATAGTGTGGATAGAGCTTAAGAATGTGGCAGTATTGTATACTTTGTTGCAGAAAAGCTTTAGTACTTTTACTCATAACTAAATTACCCATCATTTTAAAGCTTATAATGTTGAGATGAAAAATATATTAAAAAGTCAGTTTTCATCTTTTGGTCACTGGTGCTGTTTTGGGACGGCAAGTCTCATATAGGAACTGCACACTTTATAGTTGTTGTAGTTGAAAAATTGAAATCTAAAAACTTAAATATGTAATTTCAATCCCTCACTGTGCATTTCGCTTGTGTCCTTGAGCAAGGCACTTTATCTGCATTGCTTGTCTCCACCCAGGAGTAAATGGGTGCCTGGTGGGGTTGCCTGCTACACTTAAGCATGTAGACCCAATGACCAGGGAAAACAAAGCGCTTTGTAACCTAAAGGAATAGGCACTATATACTGTAAATACTAAAACAAAATAACAACAAATTAATCAATTAAAATATGAAATTTTGTTTATTGGTTGATCTAGTTATTAACAAAATTAAAAATGATCCTTTGAATTTATATATCTATTATATCTGCATTTTAGGAGATGTGGGATCAGGAGAAGGAGCATTTAGCTACTTTTGAAAAACTTATACCAGAGAATCGAGTCAGGCCAACAGCTCTCCTGCCATTTTGGAATGTTGCTGGGTTTGCTTTAGGTAAGATGAGAAAGCAATATTCAACACTAATTATAAACCAATTATGAAGACGAGCTACCAGGCCTGCATAAAAAATAGCTCTTCTCTCATGGTTGCCAGACACTGTGAGAAAAATCATATGTGTACTATAATTGTGAAGGTGTCCCAAATTAGAAGAAGTCATTTAATTTTGTTTTGCTGTTTATAGGTGATACCAGGGAACAGTTAAATTTTGGTGATATTAATTAACACAGACTTAACCATGTGATAAATGACAATAAAGCCATAGTACAGTAGTAAAACATGCAGATTTAATTAATTTGCGGGGTATGGGTTATTTTCTGATACATTCTTGTCAGGTTGCAGAAGTCTCCTGCCCCATTTCCTTCACTGCTTGTGTGCTGTTTTCCTAAACTATGTCTGCTGCCTTCTAGAGGCTATAAACATAGAATATAATACTGTATTTATGTTTCTTACAAACTTTTTCAATGATAACTGATAGTTTTATTTAAATTTAAATACATTCATTTTACTCAGGAGCTGGGTCTGCACTTCTAGGCAAAGAGGGTGCTATGGCTTGTACTGTAGCGGTGGAATCCGTGATTGGTGAACATTACAATGAGTAAGTAGTTGCGGTGCCAGCCTTTCATTTCCAAAGTTCAGAGCTTACATCCTACTCCAACTGACCTCTACTCGCTAAATATTTTAACAAAATGCTAAAATTATTTAATAGAACAAGAGTCATAAGAGATACAGGAATAATTAGAGAACGTATAATAAAAGAATGAAATGGTTGAACATGTGTTTATTTAAATTTTATTTGATAGAAACATGTGACATGCCTAAATATGGTGACATAAAGACCATATATAGGCACATCATGACTATATATGAAATTTGATAGTGTGGACAGGGCTCTAGGCAAACTAGAGCAAACAAATCATGTCAGTCCATTGCTCTACTTTACCGAGTCTGACAAACAAAAATCTGATATGCCTGAATTAAAAATTGTTTTCCAGTCAAATAAGACAATTGTTAGAAGATGACCCCAAGAAGCATGAGGAACTGTTAGAGATTTTGAAGAAGTTTCGTGACGATGAGATGCATCACCATGACACTGGACTTGCCAATGATGCAGAGAAGGTGGGTGAAGTTTGCTGGTGTTGTTACTTATTTCAAAGCCAGAATCTTGTATATTTTTGTACTTTATTTTCAGTCTTAGTTGCATCATAGAATATTAAAAATGTTTATTATTCTCACGACTTAAAGACTGCTCCCAATGATAAATCACACTGGGTTGCGTTGGTACGACACATTTATGGGGTGGTTGCTGCCAAGGTATTTTACACCTATATAATAAATATTAAATACTGTACATTAAAAAATAATGTTGTGTATCATGAGTAGAAATTATCATTGTGGTTACCCGTCTCATTAACAATTATTACCTGATGTTTGATTTATTAACGGATTATTAGCTATAACATATTCATTTATGAGGCATTATAGTTCATGCAATTCATCATGTTTTGTAACATTTTACCTTTTATTGCAGGCTCCGTTTTACTCAGGATTAACTGAAGTTATAAAGGTCGGCTGCAGGGCAGCTGTATGGGTGGCTGAACGGGTGTAGAAGATAATTATGGAAATGGTTTTTGATGGCGTAGGTTACGTGCAGCATTCATTCAGACAATCAGCAGCAACCTCTGTATCGACGGGCTCCAATCAAATGATAGAAAGCCCTGGATGTTTATATTTTACTTTCAACTCATGATAATTATTTTGGGTTTTTTTTCATTAGTTTTTTATATTTGTATTATGTAATTTTATTCCTTTGACAACTAAGAGCCTCTAGTACAGCAATACTGAATTGTATCAGTATTATTTGTGAGTATAAGTAAATTTTGCATTTCGTCTTACTTTTGTCAGGTTTTCCAGATATCATTAGTTGTGTCGTGTTATTTTACTCGTATTCTCATCACAGTGACAACATTGATATATTAATGACATGACTGTTGGTGGACAGAACTAATATTATTGTTTGAAAATTCCAATACATGAACAAAAACAAGTTATTTATATATTGATGATAACGTGTAAAAAGATCATTCTGATATGTTAAGCCTTTAGTCTACAAACTCACAATAAATTACAAGTGTAGTATTGTGTGTGTAGCATTGGGGATGAGCTGCACACAATATATTCAAAATCGTAGGCTATAATTATATTACTGTGTAAATAAAATAAACTTTTGAACTACTGTACAGTAATCCTCGGTGTGCTATTTTGTATGTTTATTTATGCTTATATAGTGAATTATAGCTAGAGCCTCAATGCGCTCAATAGAAAATGAAATACTATAAAACTTCAAATAGAAGCCAAATGGGCTTAATCTCGAGAAGAAGCCCATCTTGTCCTAAAAAAAAAGCCCAGGTCTTCTATTCAAGGTTTTACGGTATGTTAAGACAAGACCTCTGCCAGAGTAATTATGCCTAGTGCTCTGTGATATTACGAATTCAAGGTGAAAACTGCCCAATAAAGAGTAATAAATTTTACAATGGTGGGTTGCAGTTCCCCTATCAGGTATCGAATCTGAGGGGTGGGCGGGGGGAAGTAAACCAGTTTCATTTACTTGTCATTACTGGCAAAATATTTCGCTTTAGGGGTAGGCGTATAAATTACTTCCTACAAGTATAAGCACCACCTCAGCAAGTTATCTGTGAACAGTATTATTATAAAACATTGCTTCGTTTTTTAATTTTTTGGTGTATTTCCTGGTACTCATTAATGGGTCATCAACAAACTCATCAGTCATAAAGTAGAAAGCAAGCATCATTCTCATCTGAAATTAACAATGAGCAACAGAGATCTAATCTACAGTATCTGTTATTCATTTTTATGTGGCCTAAAATTGCTTAGCTACTTAAGTGTCATCATGAGGCTTAGTTCATTAAGCATAAAATTGAGGGAGGACAGAGCTTGTTAATGAGCTGATTCCGAAAAATGAATAAATTATATAGTAATAATAAGATGTCAGTCTTGTGCTGTGTTATGTTTCAATGTTTTCTTACTGTAACATGTATTAGTACCTGTGATCCTTACATATGTACTGTATACACGTGCGTATATGACATGGCTTAAAATATACAGATTAGATAAAAAAAAACATGGGGTCGCCTTTTATGCGCGACATACAAATTTCAGATTTTTTTAACCATGTTCCTCTTACCATAGAGAAAATAGTTTTCTATCCTCTTACCCGCAGGTGGTCTTATATTCAAGTGTATACTGTTTGGACTCCATCAAATACAGATCAACAGTTTCATCCTCTCATTTCCACTATGCACTAACCACAAATTAAATACAAACAGAATAATATACAATCTTCTTTGTACTGTAATATTTATTTAAAATAATCCAGATGTTGCATCATTTGTAAACAACGTGTACCATAGCCAATTGTCTGCTATTGTTTATTCATGGTGGGCATATCTGCACGACATAAGGAAGCCATTTTGGAAGTACTAACAAGTTTATAGCAGTGAACATTGAAGAAAAAGCCAACAAAATTTTTAAATTTGACAATGAAACCGGTGGTGTTAATTGTATTAATTAATTAATTAATTAATTAGTTAATTGTATGCATCATGAATTTCACAAATCAAAGATTAGATATAATTTAAATATCGCTATAGTGGTCATGAGACAAATGATGTAAAAATCTATTTCAAATACCTATTAATTTTTCTATATCCACTTAATAACATGCTGAATAAAAATGACAAAGTATCTTCCTATGTTTATAAAGTAATATTAAATAATGTATTAAACTGTGCAAAATGTTCAGTCAGGTCAGTATGACAGTCAACATTCACTGCTTTGACGATACTAATAAAAATATTACGATAGTTTTACTATGATATAGTATGGCATATTCATTGAATATGGTGAATGTATAAACAAGATGGAACACAATAGTGAAAATATAACATTGTGAAAGAAATACTAAAAATACAATAATAGCAACTGCTTGTCTATTGTTACAATGGATGAAATACAATCTTACATGAGTTGTGCAGAAGTAGATGCAGCTCATATTCATTGCCTTTAGGATGGTGAAAATATACACAAGATGAAACACAATGGTGAAAATATAACACTGTGAAAAAAGTACTATAAAAATACAATGGTAGTAATTACAAGTCTACTGTTATAATGGATGAAATAAAACTCCACATTAGTTGTGCAGAAGTAAGTTCAGCCCAACATAAATACCTTTAGAAAATGTGTTCTCTATGTAGCCACCAATGCCTATAAGTAAAGACAAATACTGTACATGAAACTTCCATTCCTATCTAAAGCCCTGTTTAGACTGTCAAATTTTTATTCGACAAAAACATGTGACATGCCTAAATATGGTCATGATGACATCACATCATGACCATATATAGGCACATCATGCTATAAAATGGGCATACAACAGTCTTTTGTCAAAGAAAATTTGATAATCTAGACAAGGCTTGAAGACAATGTATCTAGCATTCCAACCCAAGATATTTCTACTATAACTCATGTCTTAACAAAGGAAAAAACCTATACATATTGTCTTTTTAAAATAATGGTTTGTATATATGTAGTTCATAAACTACTTGTGTCTGGTAGTGGTATTGTATAGCACATTATGTTAATGTATCCATATGCCTCACATTCTGTCATTGTATTTGTAACACCTACAGAACACACATGCAGCTTACTGTAGGATGAATATTCCGAAGTGATGCACCAGATTTAGATATAATGACAACCCACTTATACTCCTGGGGGCAGAGAGGTGTTAATGTAGAGAAGCACCCTTACACCAGAATGGACAGTGACCCCCAAAGTTTGATGATATTTAACGGATCCTCCCAGAGTGTTAAATGTAACAGGGGCCAAGAAAGGAGCGTTCACATTGTGGCCTTGTCCCTACCAATACTTTCACAACTATTACATGAAAATCGTATTGAGTTTCCTAAAAAAAACCAACATAGCTCAACAGATTATGAACTCGTGTATAGACATGATAAGAAGAATCAAACTTAACAACTAACCACTCAGAGAATAGGAACAGGCGTATGTGCTTACCCTACATCAAAGATACTAGAAATACAATAGAGCACCCACAAAGCAAAAATGAGGCGGAAATTGGGCCAGACGTATGCGGCGCCCTTCTCTTTTATAATGAAGTAAAGTTTTCTATACTTGATCCAGATGTACAGGGCGCCCTTCTGTTGCTAGATATATCCAGACACACACGGCGCCCTTCTTTTTCCACTAATGGAGGAAAGCTTTATCACTAATCAGAGTCCGCTCATATGATTCTGCGCATTTTTGTATATTCTTATTGTTTTGATTTATTTATGCCTACTTGTTTGTATCTTATGGATAATGGCAACGATTTAACCTCCGCAAAAGGAGATTATATATTTCACAGTTATGTAACGGTGGCAGAAGTTTTTTTAGATCCAGCCGTACGCGGCGCACCATTGTTTGTACTCCCCACCATGCATTTCGGTGGAACAGTTTTTTTCTGTGGAGAACTCTTGTGTTTCTAGTATCTTTGCCTTTATACAGACATGTTGTCCTACAAACGCATGTGTTCACGCATGTTCAGTTGCCGTTTAGTGGGACCTTAGCAACAATATCCAAGGGGCGGGGCTTAGTGCCAGTCCATTGGATCCACATGTTTCTATATACACTCTACTCAAACACCATTTCATAGTCAAAAATATCCAGAATTACGCTGGATAAATTAATTGCTTTCTTCATTGTCGCAGATACTAAAAAACTTCTTCATGTAAACTTTAGTATTTTAAAATATACTGCACTTTCTGAGTAAACTTCAAAACGTTATAATAATATATGTAAATACTGTAGTAAGGTTATTCCATAAACCTGAGATGTTCAGCTAATTATACATCTTAAAACAAAGATTTATGTAAAGAAATGGGATACCAGTATATATATAAATTTCATATCTATACATTTTAAAATATTTTCTTTTAATTACATTCACTGAACAAAATTAAAATGAAAAAATTCATTCAGGATATCCAAGTACAAACATAGAATTCAGAATTTTGAATTTTATCAATACATTTTTTCCCGTCGTTCAGGCTAAACTTTAATATCTTTGCACCATGTTTCAGTATAAATTAAATTAATTTTTTTTTTATTGGGTAAACTAGTTACATTTGTAAAAATACAGCAACTTCATTGGCTGATTTACTGTCAGGTGTCATTGTAGAGCAATTCTGATTGGATAATCTAATTTCATGTGTACGAAAATGCTACTTTGATTGGCTAATTTACTGTCAATATAAAACAATTCTGATTGGATAATCTAGTTCGTGTGTGAAAATACAGCAAATTTGATTTGATAATTTACTCTCGGATGTCAGTACAGAACAATTCTGGATGATTAAGTTTCATGTGCAGATATAGAAAATTCTAAAGTCTCATTTGACAGTACTAGGTCAGATAAGATAGCCATGACTCATAAGTAACAAACATGCAAATAAAAATATGTACATAAAAAAAATCTTCATTTATGAAGGCATGGGTTTCTTTTAACTATTCAGTACGTGGCTATATTATTTACAGTATAAATCAGTGCCGGAAGTCTTTTATTATTTATGGGGTGTCAAATCTGTTTTCTATTTGATATATCTCTGCAAAACATGTTATCTAAAAATTGAATGCTTTCAAGCCTCACTGGTTTGGCAGTAATATTACATTCTATGCTTATTTAAAATAAAAGCTTAGATAAACATTCATTCTTGAAAGTGTTTTACACAATGATATTTATTTGTTTTGTGGCAAACACATGATATTAATCCACAGAACAAATAAATTCCTTAACCATAATTGATCAAAGAAGCACATCTTTTGACCTAAGTTCTTGAATAAATGCGGCACCAAACATGATTATTTTCAGTTTTGCACTCGAACAAGTGCTGTGGTAATTAAGAAAGATATATTTCATACAGTGTCCCAGCACTTATGAAATACAGCACAGAGAATACATATTACAATATGGTAACAGTGGAAACAATTCTCAGTGACACGCTAAAATAAGCGTATCACTGAATCATTAAATTATAAATGTAGTAGCACTTATTTGATCATTTATGATAAACCATTCCGTTTTTCATTGGAATGTTATCTAGTGACAATAAGCTCACATCTTTGAAATGAGTTATTTTAGGATAAATTCGGCAATAAAAAAAAAAGAAAATACATTTTTTTTTACACAGGCAACAACTACGAAATGCAGATATTGTTAAAAAGGAAACTACACACAAATAATAGTAAGTAAAAAGAGTAAATAAGGAAGGTATATACATTATATATTTTTGGTGAATCAAATATTTTCTTATCAAAATGAAATTTCTCTGTAAATGAGAAAAAAATTTTCTTAGTTCAATCCACATAATTATATTTTTGATGGAATCAACAGCTATATTTAAATTGTATTGAGTATTTCTTAAAGTTTCAATTAGTTAGGCATGATAGATTTTAGTACAATGCTCTTTTGCACTGGGGGAGCCTGCCCCCTTGCTGAGAATAAAAGGGCAATTAACCAAAAGTTTCAAATACAGGTTCTTCAAAATGTTTTTAAAGTTTAGAAAGAAATACAGATAGTGCTTTCATGCGATGCACCATTAAATTCGTCCAATACTGGGGAGATCTGGCGGTTGAAGCACAAACTTCTGCATGTTCTTGTGTATATTTTGTATTCAATCACTAAGTTAGAATCCGGGATGTAATGAAGATCCCTGTCTCAGACTGAAGTCTCTACAAGGGCAGTACAACCTTGCAGTTCCATTTAAACTAGAGATCCACTCTGGTGATCTACTGTTTTCCATTCCTGTTTATCTACATGGCAGCATCTTCTAAGCTGGATATCTCTCCAAATAATACATCTGAAGTTTATAGTTCTCTATACTTTCTTCATCAAGTTAACCTTAGCTGTAAAAAACTTTAACAAGACTCCAGTATCAGCATCCTTTAACTGTGATCAGGGAGTTCACCAGTGACATTCCTGCCATCAGGGGTTCTCCCTGGGTTCTCCATTGAGCTTCCGGTTGTCAGAAGTTCCCCAGTAAGATCACTGCCAATCATACCTTAAGGAAGTTGCAACCGTTGACCAATTAGAAGCATTTAAATCAGAACACCTTCCCGAATAAACTGACATGATTGACAATAACATGTTCATTAACCTGTCTGTCAACAGTTGTCATGGCAACCACACATGGCTTTCACATGATTGTTGGATACAACAATCAATCAATCAATCGATATAGAAGACAACATTACTGTATTTCTTTACATGAATTGTATCATTTCCAACTAACGGCCTTCTACAATCATGTGTGCTCACGTTGGATGTGATTTAAGTCCCTGCAGTCTGTCTATTGCTTCGACGCCTTCTTTTTCCTGGCGGACAACATGTCATAGAATGGATCCCTGCTTATACTTGACCTGAGAATAATAAGAAAAAAAAGAAATTATAAATTAGAATGTAAATAAGAAAAATAACAAATACTTTTAAAAGTAGAAGAAAATTTAAAAAAAAAAACCATGGTGATCGAGAATTTATTAATTCCAAAAATTATTTCAGTCTATATTTTTCAAATACCATTTATCCCGATGTTTAATCGAATGTTTGAGCATATGCGTACAGATAGATGTACAGAATCACTCAGGCTTCAATAGGTACTTACAGGCCATATACGTAAATGGAATTAGTTTCTAATTGAAATAGGGGTTTAAGCTCATGAGCGTGAGCTAAACTTGCTTAGCGAGTGTTCCAACAGACGTTAAGTGCCGCGCGAGGTCTTAAAATGCCAGATTAAGATGCACTACCAAGTGTACTTAAATGTTAATCCTTAACTAACAAGGGATGAAGTACTCGATGAAAATGAAGTGGAATTAAAATATGGGCAGGTTCATGGTTAAGCGAATTGATAGACACTGTTACTATTGTAGATTTACGAAATTTCTTCAACATCTATCTCAAAACTTTAGATGATGGAAAGCTTAGGGTAAACTATACAAAGAAATAATTGTTGAAATATATTATAAAGACAGATGTTGCGACAAATCTCCACCTGGAGAGGGATGAGCCTAAATATGGTCATGATGACATCACATCATGACCACATATAGGCACATTGTGACTATATATGGGCACACAACAGATTTTTAACAGCTATCTCAATGCAATACCCAAAAATTAGTAAATACATATGAAGTTTTAGGTAGATAGACATAATATCATTAAAAAACCCCCCTCAGATCTTACAAACTTAAAAGTTTGCAATTTTATTTATCAGAGATACCGACAGTTTTACCAATATCAAAATTAGCATTGAATAAAAAAAACTGTGGCTTGAAGGATTGTGTGTAAAACCGACCCTCTACAACCATTAAAGATAAACTCACAGGATTTTGTAAAAAAAATAAGATCATAAAATATAGTTATAGGGCATCATGCACAATTGATTCTATATCCATAAACTAGGAGAAAACAGTATTGCAACCCATGAAAATAGTACTACTGTACTATAAATATTCATACAAACTACACTAAATGAAATTGTCATATCTGTCAAAAGTGCTAGTAGTAAAATATTTAATTTTTTTTTTTATTTTACACAAAACAGGAAGCACATAACTCATCAATTTACAGAATAGAATGTTACTATTATAATGAGTAAGGTGTGGATTATTGTTATGTGAATAACTGTCACAGGATTTTAACCCAGTACCCTGGGATTTGAGGGGGTGCATCTTAAGCACCAAGCTACAGAACCACTAATATGACTTACTTTATTGCTTTGATCCAATCCACCTTGTCGTCTGCGGTTGACGCTGACATACGATAAATTTGATGGCGGCCTAAGAAAACATTAAACATAAACAATATAATTATAAGGTTATTGTTGATGGAAGCACTTTCTAGTTTGTATACCATTTATCTGGTCTAATAATATGAGACAGTGCCACCAACATCTCGCAACTTTTCACTGGGGGACTTTTAGTAGCCTAGTCTGGGCAAATTCTTTCATTTTTTCAGATATATATTTTTTAGAGTACTTTGACAAGCCAAAAAAATAAACAGTTTTCATGCGCCCCTATTTTCTTTTTCTTTTTTTTGGTTTTGCTATTTGCTTTCAAAGACTAGTCTAGGCTAACTCACTACAACACGTTTGTTCATCCATCACAGAGCATAGATATGTATATGAAAACTCCTAGGCCTTGGGAAGTGCCCCAAAGGTTATTGCCAGTTTATCGGGAATTTCATTTCAAATTTAGCGAAAATGGTGTATTCGGACTATCAGTTTTCATCTTAGCATAATTATCAAAGAAATTTGTAAATTTACTAATTTTGATAAAATAACAACTACACTTGGTAAAAAGAAATTTTAGTGAATAAAAATTCTATGGGCAGAAAATGTAGATGTGAATTACCAATTACTGTACAGCAGCACCCTCATTTATGAAAGATTAGCGCATTAATACCAAGTTATAAAATGCCTACTGTAGCATTCAATCCTGGCCACTCACCTTCTACTACTCGCCCATCTGTGTCAGTCTTACAGGCTTTGATAACGTCTCGGCCATCAGCGGCAAACAATTCAAAAGTATGCTACAGAAAGCAAAAAAAAAAAATTTAATGGTTATTACAGGTTAAAAATGCAATAAAGTACATACACAATCGTAAATTGATTTGCTTAAATGTTAAATTTTCAAACACTAGATTCTTAACTTACTGGTTTTTTAGGGTCTTCAACTTCTCTAACATCTAAGTTTTCCAGTGGTATAATGCCTCGTGGCTCTTTATCCTGGTGAGAAAAGAAAATTGACATATGTAATCCTCATATACTTTCTCTGAATAATAAATATAAAGAAAATTAATTATGTAATTTATTATGTAAAATGCATGACTAACTCCTTCAGCATTGACTAATTTCAATCCCCTCCACAAATTTTAGCCTCCTTTCCACTACTGTACATTCAATCTCCTCACTTTACTGATTTTAATCCCCTCTCGACTGACTTAAATCCCTCTCCACTGATTTCAATCTCCTTCCCACTGATTTTAATCTCCCTCTCCACTGATGTAATCTCCTCTTCACTAATTTAATCCCCTCTCCACTGATTTAAATCCCTCCCTACTGATTTTAATGTCTCCCCACTGATTTAAATCCCTCTACACTGATATCAATCTCTTCCTAATCAATCAACTGTCAGGTAAATGTCTCACCTGTGTAAATTCAAAGTAATAAAGACAATTGTCAGTAAGGATGAACCATCTTCGTTTCCAGTTACGGTACCGTCCACCTGAAAGGTAACAATATAGGCATCATGAGTTATTTAGTTCAAGCCACATCAAAATTAATTACAATAAGTTTTAACATTCATTTTTAACCACATACTGTACCGGTAACCAAATTTTTAAGAAACAAATAGCAGTTAAGAGTTTTAAACTAGAGATATGAGGTTTGCCATTCCAAAATCCAGCGTACTGTCGCTAAATGCTAAACTTAGCAAAAGAATGCGGCAGTATTGTATACTTTAGTGCCGAGAAGCTGTAATAATTTTACTCATAACTTTAAAAGCTTATAAAGTGGAGAATAAGAATATTAAGAGCCAATTTTCATTTTTTGGTCACTAATGCTGGCTTTGGGATAGCAATCTTCATATATTATATCAACAAATATTTGAAAAAAAAACAATAACAATTCTGCATTATTTAAAAACAAACATGATTAGTGTTCAGTTGGAAATAAAACAACATTGAACTTTTAAATAAATTTCATGAAGTCACACTTGAAACTATATACACAGTGCACAAACATTTCATATGATTGGTACACATAGAAATATTATCTCAAGTCATAATACAATAAACATATGTTTATGAATATGAGAAGAAAACATACTCAACAAAGGCTGAAGTGAGTACTGTATGTTAATGAACATGTGTACAGTATGTGGTGGTAATTGATTTCACAAAAATTTAATTATTTTGTTTTAATTATTCAGTTTGTGTTAATTGATATGTGAGTTGGTGCATTGTTACGAGTTTAATCACAATGTTTTTGCAATATAATCCCATTTTTTTTGTTATAAATAGTCTACCGGAAGATAACATATGGGATGAATATTAATATAACATGTCATTTTACAATATCCTAAAGAAGGCTATGTAATACGCCACAATATTTGATTATGTTAAGGCCTACTATTCTGAAATATAAATTATGTTATAAAGAAAAACGATGGTAACAAAGAGACCTACATTGAAGAAACAAATTGATAGCATTAACAGGCAACTGAGCTAAAAATAATTAAAAGTTAATAGGAATTGTACTGTAGGTTCATTACATTGGGACATAAATATTGTGAACCTAGCATCTGAACAAATGACTGGACATATATCAATGTATTAAGGTAGATTCACACCAAATCTGAATTCGGTTCGTATGGCTAATGAAACGAAAAAAGAAAATCGAATCAGTGGAAAAGAAAAGCGGTGCGTACTAAGATGCGCATCGAAAAAATTCTACGAACCAGATTCAGTTTCGGTGTGAATCTACCTTTAAGGTTTCAATTGCAATGAATTACAGTACTCGTAAAAATATGGATGTAATGCATGCTATTCATCATCTGATATTTCAACCGATAATAAAACAATAGTTATAATTCCCTATATGATTCATTGTGACATTCTGTGCAGGTCTTTAGATCTTGTAACAAGTTGACAGTGGTAAGACAAACTGACATGTTACTAAAACAAGTTAACAGTTTAGCATGATAGGTCAATGTTTTTAAACAGGTTAAATTTTCAATACCTTAAATCAACAGTTTAATAAAATATGTATCTTAAGGTTATTGAAATTTACATGGGGCAAGTCAACAGTTTACAAAACCATGTCAATAAGTTAAAGGAGTGAAGGTTCCAGTTAAACATGTCAATAGTTTATGATAGTAGATATAGTATCTTAATGTAACAGGTTGACAGTTTACTAATACAGGTCAACAGTTCAGTATGATACTCAATCCATTAATCTTATAGGTTAACAGTTACAAGTTACAAGTCAATTTTCAATAGATTAAATGAGACAGGGTGACAGATAAACAGTCAACAGTTTAGTACAATAGGTGTCTTAATGTAACAGGTTGTTGATATTTATATGAGACAAGTCAACAGATTCAATGAGATAAGTTGCTAATTAAACAAAGTCAACAGTTTATTAAGTTAAGTAAATATCATACAAGACTGATTGATATTATTAAGACAAATCAACAATATACTATTAGGGGGTTCATTGTTTAATGTGACAGGTTGACAGTTAAATATGATAGGTGATACATTAAAAGCTTATTAAGCAACATTAAAACTTAATAAAACTTAATCATTTTTATTCTATAATAAAGAAAAAATCTGTAAAAACATGGCACTACTCAAACGAAAAGAAAACAACTGAAAAAAAAACTCTTCATTCTGCTGCACTCACTCTTTTTCTCTCTCAAGTTAAAACAAATAAAAGGGATGTAAGAAAAAAATATAAAATAGATTTAAAACCTATGAAATATCAGACTTAAGCCCAAAAAATATTAGCAACTACAGAAAAAATAAATCTACAAGCAAAAATCTCTTAACAGCAAGAGGAAGAAGTGGTGTAAGCATTGCCTATTAAGTAGTACATCATTATTAAATGTACAATCAAAATTGTTGTCTAGGAAGACAATTCAAAATTAAAATTAAAGTACCTTAATTGGAGAATTAAGGGGACAATATGAAGAAAAGCAACAGCAAAAAGCATAGATGTTAATAGAATCAACAATATTACTGTAAAAAATTAAAACTTAGAAAAATATCAAAAAGCAAAAAGAGTAAAACATTGCTTAGCTATTCAATCACAGTGCTAGAAAGTGAATATGCAAATGAGACTGAAATGAATTTTGTAACTGAACAAGGATGGGAAGCAAACATAAACTGTTAAAGTTGGGATACATGCAAGTGGCTCGAACTAACCTCCTTTTCACACATGATTCATCAGGTATATGTGATATTTATGTGCAATTTACACGCATAAGTCATCAGGCATTAATGCAAGGCAAAATTGAAAAGAGGCAATCATTGTTAATTGAAAATAATAACTTTTAAATTTAAAAAAAGTAAATTATACAAGATCATTCATAATTACAGCAAAGAAAATAAAATACTAATGCAAAAACACTTATATATTCATTTCAAGCATATTTTCTGTGCAGTATTTACATGCATTGATAATCATGATATTAATCAATTCAACCCACTTATTCAACTTATGACACAATAAACAATATTTCAATTTACTAAAAAAGTATGCTCAGAGAGTATTAAGCTTTTCAATGAATAAATTGTTGAAATAGTTCTCCGGCTTTACTATTGCGACATGGAAGGATACCGTCGTAACAAATGATTTGCACTTCAATTCATATAATTTTTTGACAGTTTGGAAATTAATGCAGATATGACATGGGCAACTAATCAAGGAGGCTAAAGTAAACTGTGGGATTTAGCTTATGTCTCTTTAACTTCTTCAAATCGGTTTTTCATTTAGTTTTATGAGAAGGTAGAGTCGTGCACTGTCATAACAGACAAATGTAAGGACTTCATTAAACATAGTATGTGCATAAAAATACTAAGAACAGGAGACGATGAGGTTCACTTTAATAAGTACTTACATCGACAGGATAATCGATTGTAAGATATATTCTAAGAAGTATAATATTTTACATTTGCTCAAAAACAAGAGTATATCATATTTCATTCTGTGGGAGTCAAGAAGAGAATGTTTTATGGTGGACTAAGAAAGGGGTACCAGGGATAAAATTGTGTTGAGATTAAGACAGGGGAGAATAAATTCATAAAAATGGTGGGAGTCAGAGTATTATGGTAATTTAAAACATTGTGGGTTCAGGTATAACAGGAAAGTTGAATGACTAAAGAGGGAGTTTGCACAAGGAAGGAGAAGGGATTGTCATGATTTAAACGTGGGATTCAGGGAAGGAAAACTTAAAAGAATTTATGGCAGGGCAAGAGTTAGAATGGGAGAGGAATTCTGGTAAAGTATGACAAAGGCGCTCTTGTACCCATAGAATTGTTGCCAGCAGCATTTGCCTTTGTGCAGTCCTACAGTTTCAATACAAAGCAACATTTTATAAGTTATTACCTGTCGTCACCTGTTATAATACATAATTTATATTTTAGCTAACTTCACCTGTGAGTTTCAGTTATCATTTGATGATACCTGTTTCATTGCATTAGGATCTGATGATGATGACATTCAACAAAGTTGCATTGCAAATGAAACCAACGAGGTGTAGAATTGTAAATCCATTAAAAAAAAGAGATCCAAAGATATGCATCGGTAGATTACAATGCTTAGTAGTTCTGTAGTTATAACACACACACAGAAAACTAAGTAACAACTACATACTTAAATATGATTAAAGCTTCATTCACTCCATACCCAAATTTTAGAATCAGAAGGCCTACCAAACCAATCAGAAAATTGAATCAGTGTTTAAGAATTGCAACACTGGCATTCTGCGCGTAGGAAACGTGGTCTGAATTTCGGTTTGGATATGATTTGAATGCAGCTCAATGTTGTCATTATATTACGTAAAGGTGTCGGTTGACGTACCTTGCTTCATTAGCCATCCTTCCCTGTCGGGATTGAAGAATGTGTGAGTTAGATCATTACCGTCATCTTCTGGGATTTTAAATGGTTCCTTCTTGATGCTTTCGTATAAACTCTGTTAAAATTTAAATGAAAATTTTGGCCAGATTAACAAGTGTTCGGCAAATAATTCAGTTCAAATGTCTTTATAAATGGTCATATCCTTGTGACTAAAAAATATATATATATATAAAACAGGGACGTAGTTATGGTGGGTTGATGTGGGCAGGGCTGCACCAGTCTTAGAGTATTCCACCCAGTCTAAAGGTAATTTCATGGCCCTCCATCCATCCTTATTAACCCCACTCACCATCCTAAAACTTCATTAGTATTAATTAAAGTTTAGCAATGTTATCACCCACCCAACCACCCTTAGTTCTCTACAACTACAACCCTGAATAAAACTGTCCTTTATTCGGCTACTTACGCTCAACAACTCATGTGGTAGATCCTTTCCGTCGTTGATGCCGCGATTCATCGAAATGAATCGATCCAGATTCGGTTTATCTTTGACGGACTGGTTATGCAGACTCGTGTTCAACATGATAATCGCAAATGACAGTACATAACAAGTGTCTGTTGGGAGAAAAATTAATAATAAAAGACAAAAGCCTAAATAATTATATTTTAATTATCTACAATAAATAATCCTAGACAGTTATATTAAAATAACAACAATAACATCAACAACATCAATAATAATAAAATTATAACAATTATAAAATAATTAAAAAACAACATTAATAAAAATATTAAAGGTGTAATAATTTTTTTTACTACAGTACAGTGTGCATTTGCAGAAATATATACTGTAAAAGGTTTTATGTGACATCATGTTCCACAGACAAAGGATTAGCCTAGCCTTGTTCCATGCCATCCATTAATAAGCCCATTAGTTTAATAAAAACAGAAATGTTAGATAAATCTAAAAAATAGAAATTTCCACTTATTATAACACCCTTTATCTCGGAGGTCATACAGAGGATAGAATACTATTGCTTTTCTATGCTAATTTTACTAAAGCTCTTAAGAGTAAGTTATTACGCCCGCTCTTTGTTGCAGCCATACCTGTCGACTCGAATACACCTTTATTAGTTTCGCAATACCCTTTGGCAAAACATTCCATCATACGGTCAATCTTCTGAGCTTCTCCAGGTAGACGAAAACTCCATAAAAACTCCCTGAATAGTAAAAAAAAACACTTAAATAAAATAAAATACAAAAGAAATCAAAATAATTATTTGGTACAGAAAAATGAGAATATACATAAAAAATATTTTGAAAGAATTAATTGTTTTCTAAAGTAGACTAGAAGACTCGACATTGCTCAAAAACAGCGCCTCAAAGTACCGTATATATTCACAAACATCTATTGTAAAAAATAATAATATTAGTGTCACTATTCAAACATATAAGTATTTCCCTGTTTGGATTCTCTGTAGATATTACTCTATTGAAGCAACTCAACTGAGACATTGAGACATTTCTATGTGGTGTACCACAAGTATTTATATAATTATAGTGTAGATTTTGTATAGTGCCGGTATCCATCAAACAAAATGCTCACGATGCTTGATGTGTGTGGAATAGCATAGACGCGCCCACCTCACTTCAAAAAAAACTCTAATGTTCGAAATGTTGATACCGAATTTTGCACTGTGTATGTTACTTCAAACTATCAAAAAGCTTAAAATCAATTTAATTTTAGATTAAATTCTTTATTTCAAATTATCCACAAATAACAGTAAAAACTGAATTACTTGGGATTTACATATTGCTTAATTACAAAAAAAGACAATCATATAAAAAGATAATCAAAAAAGACAGGGAGACAGAAGAAAAACAAGTCACAACAATGATAACAGAGAAAAGACAAAGATATTTACAAAAATTAACAAATTCGGAGATTAATAAAAAAAAATATTAATTAATAAAAAATAACAAAAATGAGGGGGATAAATATTTATTAATATTTATCATTACTCTTGTTGCTTAATCTCTCTGGAGTATCAGTATAACACATAGATATTTTTTGAACTACTGTAGGCTTTGTTAATGAAGCAAAGAACATATGAAACTAAATATGATGCCATAGCTAAATTAAACAAGGGTTTATACAGGAAGCAAAGCTAGTTAGTTAATTATCATTTCATGGTATCGAAAGGTAATTTTTAGGATTTGGTCAACAATCTAGAGTACTTTTGGAAACTGTTCGAAACTGAGCACTTTTGCTTATGAATATTATTTTGAAGAAATCTTAAAATTGATCTAAGTAATTTACAACACAATAGACCTATAATAATCAGCATGCAATGACCAATAGTTTTAAGCGAACTACAAATTGTATACGACGTAATAATGTTAGACGAACAGCATACTTCATGTGTTAAACAAACAATTGAATCCCAAGATAACATAGTATACAAAGAAACAAGTAACTGTGGCAGCTCCCAAATGAGATGACACAAAATGACATCATGGCGTGGCGTGAAACAATTTCCCGGACCTAGCAGTAACCACGTGTCAAATCAATTTATCTACACAAGGGCGTACTACACAGGATGACGACCGGTTTCTCAAGGTGTGCGCCATATGAGTCAGATATATCACTGGGCAATTAATGCACAATTTAACTCGGTTGTTCATTTTTTTCATGCATTTTATAATTTATATCTCTGTGGGATTATAGCCATCTAGAATCACCGGTCGGTATCGGATAATATTGCTTTGGGAAATTAGACGGATTGATGGCCCCCGGGACAAGGATAATCGCAGTGATGCCCATAGGTTATCCTCGGCAAGATGGTATAATAACGTCTCAATAGCATCATACACATTGAGAGTCATTGACTTGCATGGCCTTGTAAGAGTTCATTTAATATTCATATATTCTTGCATTAATAATTACTTTTTTTCTATAAATAACCTCTGATATTTCTGGCTTGAGTAATATCATTTTATATCAAGTTTCTCAGGCAGGATTTAAATTTTTTTTTATTTACTTGGTATTATTGAACTATGGTAAACAATGAAAATGATTAAAAAAAACATTGCCAGCCAGTATTTTTTTCTTAAAAATTCTTTATACGTTTAGTAAAAAACAATTTCCAGTGTATTTTTTTAATGTGAACCAACAGTACCACTATAGTACCAACAAGGATGGTTTACACCACATTAAATTTAATTTTATATCAATTCTTACCGTAATGCCTGCACTAGTATCATGTCGTTGAATTCATGCAGATTGACAAATGCTTCCAATACTTTGATGTTAAACTCATCTCTGAAAATAGAAAAATTGAAGAATTAAAGCTGACTGGTTGGTTATTGATAAAATCTATGTGGGCAATTTCATAATGCAGAGTGATTTTTTGTAATTTTTCATACTTATCAAATCCCATCAAGTTTGTTATCAAACTAAAGCTCATTTTATATAGAATTAAGATCTAAAATAAATATTTTGGTATTTCAATGGTAAAATGTGAAAAAAATGATCCAAATACATAGTATTTTTAAATTTTAAAATATAGTAAAAAATAGCTTAATTAAATGCAATTATTATGCAGAATGTATATGTTGGAAAATTCTAAATTCATGTTATTTTACAAAAGAATAGGTACTATTATCATTTTTAAAGGTGAAAATTATAATTTTCAAATAATAAATTATTTTTTTTGTTTTTTAAAAAATTTGGTTAATTTATGTGATTCCGCTACCAAAAAAGGGATTTTTTTAAAATTTCTCCAAAAGTATTGATTTTTCAAAAATGAAAGTACAGGTGATAATAGACTACTGATAGATGTGTTAACTGAAGAAATATGGCTTGGTTTTGATGGTTTAATCTTGATTTAATTACGACACAGCCATAATTAGAATGTATATTATGTATCTTAATTACAATGAAAGCATAAACGAAGTAATGCGAAAATGTCATACGAGATTTGGCAAATCACATTCTATCATAAAACGCCAACTAATATCAAATACAATTAGGTTTCTGATCAGGTGCAAGCATTATCATCTTAATGTTTTAACAAGTAGATCCGTGAAATCTTATTAAGTTAATATTTTTGAAGGGTTACATTCTGTTGACGAGAATCTGTTCTAGTTCATATAATTAAAATGACTGTGTGAATATAACATTGCCTCCTTTATACTATTATGTTACAACTAATGTTCTACTAAACCATTGTAAAGGATGACCTCTGAACAAGTAAAGCTTATGATTATTCCATTACTAAAATGTCTGGCCTCCTAGCTTACTGGAAAAAAATGGAGAAAATTATGCAGTCACTTAGGTTTTATAAAACTCTTGTAAAATTGTTCACAAACTGCAAATATCATATTTTTTTTTTACTGTTTTTCTGATGACCTCTGGTGTCACTGACCAGCTTCTTTGTCAATTTGTATTATTTGCTGGTTAATTTAAAAGAAAATGTGCTTTACTAGAAAGATTAATACTTTTACTATTATCAATCAATTAATCAAAAAATTATAGTGAAGGTATCCATCCAACAAAAGGATTTCAGAAAATGCCTTAGAATTAAAGTATATATTTTATTGCAAAAATGTTCATATAAAGTATTTTGTAGAATTTTATGAGTTAATATTATTTAATATGACCACTAGAGTTCCAACTAACTAGGTCAGGATAGGTTAATGCCTGTACAATGCCTTACCACAGACATGTATCTACAATTTACCATAGGTTTAAAGTTCTAAGAGGGTTGGAGAAAATAATAGGGAGTTTTTGATTGCACGACGACGGTAGGACGTAGAACATAATGACATCACTGAAAGTCATCTGCGCATGCAAAAACGTTAAGTTCTGGATTCTAGGACGCAATTTGGCCAAATCCACGTATGCAGAGAAAGTAGGACACCCGGTAGGAAGGTCATGCATGAGTGATTCCGTTTTAGCATCGCATCGTCGAACAAATCAAAAACTCCTTAATGTCATAAATGTTCAACCCCTAATTGTACCCTCTTTTAATTCTTATAAACATCCTGACTTCTGCATCTCTGAATGGTTGCAAGCAATGGCATTTCATAGCAAATTCTATTAATGACTATATGTACTGATAAATTGCTAAAAGTTGGGCATCTCTGAAATTTCATCCCTTGATATTTTAATACTGAATATAAATACTGAATCAAAACAAATCCATCCATTTTAAAAATAAATGTTCACAACAGACTTAAACGTCAACCTATCTAATAAATATTTACAACAGACTAAAAATGTCAATCTATCTAGCAAAAAAAAGTAATCATATTTTTGAAGGTAGATTATATATGTTTGCTATAATCACAAAATACAAAATTGGAAGATTACGGGGAAATCAACAGGACTGCTCGGAAATAAGTAATTTCACTCGTTTAAAATCTCGTTTCCAGTCTAAGTAGAAACGCAGACTAATCATCAATAACAAAACATCTGCCTTTATATTTCTCGCAAGAAAGGAAAATGTAATCAGGGTATGGTTCACAGTACTTGGTTTAGATTACATACGAGTAAGTTACTCGCATGTTTACAGTACGTGTTGCATAGTCTGCATGAAAAATGGTGGATTATTAGAAGGCTGTTGGAAGATGTACAATAGTAAACCATGTTAACATTTGTAATGCAAGATGGTTGCTATTACCAGTACTCTTATATGGGCTGATCTTGTTGATGGAATTTAAATACTAATTAGTTTTATAAGTAGTACATTCTGTATTGACATTTTATAATGTTTTTTTTTTTAAATATAATTAAATTATATATCTAATGATTTTTTTAATATCATGTGCCATTTTGGCCCTTAATACTAATAGAGGTATAATATAAAGTATGATGTTCTGATGGCCTTAACAAGAACAGGTAGGTTAATGAAGCAGATACAACAAATTTAATTAAAATATCTATTAATATTTAAGGAAATTCTGAATATACTGTATTTCAATCATTCCTTGTATTATTCATGTGTCAAGAAGGGTGATAAGCCTTTATCTTGAATGCACTTTCGGTCTGCTAATCCTCCAGCCCAGAGAGTTGAAAACAAATTAGGTCAGTGAGCAAAAACAAAGTAGAGTACACAAAGAACGCTATAAATGTGAAAGCTCAACAGAGTTTTTGATTGGATGCTAGGCATAGGGCCAAGTAACAATTACAGTAATTGATGGGGTCATGGGATTAAATCACATGCATAACAGAGAGAAAAACCTTCAATAGAATTATGAATATAAGTGTCTCATGAACTACTTAATGGAAGATTTTGTTTTGAATGAGTTTTTAAAGATATGAAATATCCTAATTGTATATGGAATTAAATACGTTTTGCAACTACTGTACGGTAATAATACATATTTAGGCCTATTTTTCTCACTATGCTAATAAAGACTCGTGAGTTGAGGGGGACACTAACCCGCAAAACAAGGTGATTTTAGGTGCATTTTAACAACTTGACCATGATTTTTTCAGGGTGCGAGTAATTTTTTGAGGGGTATGCGCCCCAGCGCATTCCCATAGAAACACCACTAGAGTACTGTACTATGTATTACTATGTACTTCCAGTTCTGTTGCAACATCAGATACTACAGCAAGCTTGTATTTCTCACATCATTCTCATTAACTAATTGCTGTTATAAAACCTACCTTCCTCCTAAATAGTCTCCGATAGCTGTCTTGTTTAGACCCTCTCCTTTGTGGAGAAATTGTGCAACCTCTTCCGGGGTATTTTTCAACAGACCTTCCTGGATAAGGAAGTCAATCCCCTACAAAAAGCAAAAAAATATAAAATTGGCATACAGTACAAATTATTAAATTTTCTCAAAATTACACATTTCTTTAATATTGCTATTAAAAATCCCATTGAATACTAACTGATTTAAGGTTATATTCAAATCTATTATTATATGCATTGATTATTGTAATTGGCAATAAAAAAACAAATATATAGCAATTGATAGATTGTAATCTCGAGAAGAACCTCATTTCGAATTGAAGTCCCCCTCTTTAGTTTGCAAAAGTAGCCTCAAAAAGAAGCCCATGGGCTACTTTTCAAGATAGCATGGGCTTTTTTTTTCAAGGTAGTATAGTATATACACTGTACATGAATTTCAAAGATAAAAAATAAATTAAAATCACACTTGGTTTATACCAGTAGTTTAGGTGATTTAATGCCAGTTGATACACTCCATGATACATATTGATGTTACAGTGTCCCTATTTATTGTTTTATAGGAGTAATTTCAAAAATTTACAGCATTTATTTTGAAAATAAGCCCCCCTCTCTTTACTTCGCAAAAGTAGCCCCGAAAAGAAGCCTATCTGAAGTTCACAAAAAAAAGCCCAGGGTTTTAAATTGTGGTTTTGAATTATGTTGTCTATGTTCATTAGCCAACACAGATGGTATTTTAAGCAAGAATAGAGTTTATCAAAAAGAAGAGTTTCACTAAACACTTTCTAAGAAAAATCATACATAAAGTATATTTTGGTGTATGGTATGATAATTATTACTAGCACAATAGAAATGGTTAATGTTTTATAAACATAATGCAAACAAAACTAGTTGTATTATTCTTGGAGAAAATTATAAATAATCTTTTGTTTCATTAAGTTTTTATATAAACATTTATCCCACTTAAATATCAACTTGTTTTAAGTTTCACTTTCTACAGTATAGTATAGTACAAAGAAAGACAAAAACAAGTGTATGGAATACTGTACTAAGTTTCTACAAAATACTACTGATAAAAAAAACCAAAAAAAAACAAAAACAACTGCAATAAAATGGGACTGGAGTTTGGGCAGGATCTAAATCTAACTATATAAACAGAACTTTCTGTTTTTTGGGAGAAAATAAACAAGTTTTTGCTCAAAACCAACATGGTAAATATACATATATATCATCAGTTTGCAATTGAATTCAGTATATTTTTATGAATGTCCCTAACAAAAATCTAGGGTACCATGTATTAGGGAGGCAAACACTTAATTTTTGCTTGCATTCCCTTTCCCTTTCTGTAATTTGTGTCTTTTGTCTAGTGTGGTAAGCGCTTACCTTTTGTGGGTCCATGTTAAATTTCTTTCTTCCCTTGTTAAGCATATTTTGTGTATTGTCTCCTTGTCTGGAAAGAGTGAGGAGTTCGAAAAAAAAAACATTAATCAACTCTGCAGTGTACATCGAAAGTATCAACAAAACGAAAAACTAGACATGCTAATATAGCAGAATATACAGTTATTTGCACATATCACATATTCACAAACACAAAATTTAAATAAAAAATGTTTTACTTTATAGTTGGTATTACTGAACACCTTCTATAAAGTGTTTTTTTTTCCCAATTTGTTCTTGTTTTAAGCCGACATCATAATACAGTTAGTAGCAGTTCACCAACTTCCTTAAATGGTTCAAATTTAATACAATATTTTGTTTGAAAGTGCACCTAAATAGTTTAACATTTCATTAAATCATTCTTTCTTAAACTACTAAAATCCCAAGTAAACTTATATAAATGGCCTTGTAGTTATAACACAACCCCCCAAAAAATTACAAGATTTTGGTTTTTGTTTCATTTTTCATATTGTGAATATACTGAAAGTCTCTATTTTGATTAAATATACAATATTTGTATACAATATTTCTGTAACAATTCTATACAATAAATAAAATATCAGATATCAATTTTAAGATGTTTGAAAATGAATCTCGAATAAACATAATGAAAAAAAAATACTGACTTTAAATGATAAAAAGTCTACATTTTGAAAGATTTTTCTCTATTTTAACATAACAATGTTTTTAGAGGAAATAACATCAATTTGGCAAAACATATTTTGTAAAATTTAACATTTGCTTGATGCAATCTTTTAAAAATGTGGATTTAGTCATAATCTATGAAATCATTTAAAGTAATACGGCAGATTATCTTATTTCATACAGAATCACGGAATTTAAGTAATGTACCAATTATTAGTTACGATTAAAATCCAATATGAAAGTATGCTACAGATATGTAGGTTGATAAGCATATTGGAAATATCAATGCAGCACGCTATCATTTTTAAGCCTGATTCCATTACATGCATGACCATGTGTGACAGATCAATATGTGATGTGCATCTCCTACACGTTCACGTGTGTCAAAATAACTATCGTGGGTGCTACGAATGTGTGTCCTACATGTGGAATTGTGGACGTTCAGGGCATTTTTATGGATATAGTTTGAGTGTTGCATTGTTTACTTAAGACTGTTAATAATAATGCTTCAAAAAAATTAATTGTTTTACATTATTTTATTAAATTTTGGTACTTAAAAAGTCTGTTTTTGACCCTTCAGTGATACAGTTTCAATGACAATTATGACGGAATCAATGTTTTATAGGTCTATCAATTTTATTGATATGTTGATCAAGACTGTAATTATAAATATATTTGAAATAGCTTTTTCATAAGTAAGCAATGTATAAATATGGAAAACAATGAAAAAAAGAATGAAGGTGGGCTGCACCCATGAAAGATAAAAAAAAAATGTTACTACAAACAAGTTCTCGGCTCCGTTTTATTATCTATAATCATGACACAATGTTTGGGTCGCGGAAAATTTTGATTAGTCGCATACTCTTCAGATCGTGTAAACTTTACTTAATACGATTGAGGACAAACAAAGCTAAATTACAGTAAACAAAAGGGCAATTAAAGCGTGTCATTGCGTCAGTTTACTTGTGTAATGCGTTGTTTAATCATAGTTTTATGTTAAAAATATAGTACTATCAAAACATTTATACTTCAGGTATGAGTGTTTGGCTTTCAGTTGTAAATTATAACGAAGAAAACATTTTTAAAATTTCATGTGTCTATGTCTTCTCATAACCCATAAATATCTGGCAGCAATTTAAGAAATTTATAATATTTCTGTAAATTATTAATTTTAAAAAATCTTATTGGAAAATTTGATAACTTATGTTGTTTGGTTGAATAAAAGTAATTAATAGTTATGGTTTCATTTTTAGGCTTTTTTATATTGATGTTGTGGGTGATTAATATATTTTAATTGACTGCCAAAAGAATCAAGTGGGTGGTTCTTCCGATATCCGCTATCTCTCGCGCGTATATAATAAAACAAAGGACGTGATTTATTGGCTTCAGGTTCAAAGGATCTCGTCTGAGTGCTCGACATATAATTTGGGTTGTGTGCTAAAAAGGTTGCAGAACGAAGATGTAAATGATAATGAGAGTAGGAAGATAATGATAGGATGATGATGATTATGATGATCATGTAAATGACAATGACGATGAAGATGTGTAGGATAGTGGTGACGATAAGAATGTTGAAGACAGTGACGTTAAATTTTTTTCTTCTTAAATTTGCAATCTTAAACAACAAAGAACTCTTTCGACCAAATTACTAAAAGAAGGTAAATGATTATCCCGTAACCAAAGAAAAAAAGCTTACAGATAAATTAATATGCAATTATGAAGGACAACAATGACTTTTTAAACTACCATAATTTAAAAAAAAAAACTATAAAAAGGATAACAATGGCTTTATAACTACCATCTGGAAGTTTAAATAGGTCTAAATAGTAAGCTTAACAATGGAAATAAAATATTCCAATACAGTACTTCCGGTGCGCATTGCTAACTAATGGTTAATGTGGCTTAACTAATTATCACTTTTAACTATGTATATGATAGCTGCACCGTCATCTCTTCACACCCATACAAACGTTAACAAGTGCCGTAGTAAGTACCCGCAAACGACATCAATTACTTTTCGAAACACGGCAATGGACCTGCCACTACGCCAATGTCACCGCCTGCTAAAAATGCATTATCGCACACATGGGGATAATTTGCATTCCCACATAAAAGTCAAACATGGTATATAAGGTAATTTATTCGTTTCCATATGGAAGTCGGAACATCGTAGTATAGCCTTCCCTCTGGCAAATACAAAATCCGACCGTCAACTTTTGACATTCAATGAATAAACAATTTCTTACAAGTTCCACTCGCTTAGGGGGAAAAATTACAGTGAATAGCAGTCGATTTTTTTTCTATTTTTTTTTAAATCTAGCTATTTGCATTCTATAAATCATGGAGGAACTAATTCCTCCATGTATAACAAACAATATTACTAACAAAACAATATTATAGTAATAAAACTATAAAACTTGAGTGCAAGACTGTGAAGTTTACAAATTAAAAAGTTAAATAATTTTGCAAAATTGTACATGAAAAAATAGCAATTTAACTTTTTATTTTTATCATTTTGTCAACTATAATAGTACATATTTCAAAATACCAATCACTGTTATGATTTCCTTAAACAAGAGGCATCTCAGTTTAATATTTCTTTAGATTACCTGCACCCCTCAGCTTAATATATATTTGGACAAATTACACAAAAGTGTACGATTATTACAGCTTTTTAATGCCCCTTATCTCACTTTAATTTATCGATTTTGTGTGTATTATACGTGTCAATATTTACCAACGGCACTGATGAGGACATTAGTGACAAAAACTTCCTAATGCGTAGCTCAAAATGTTAAGTACTTTAAAAACACCATATGTGGACGAAGGCAAAAATCATCAACAATACATAGCCTATGAATATATGAATATTATACTCCATTTCACAGATATATAGTAATGCATCACATCCAATGGGAAACAATTGTGTAAAATAATATATCTCCACTGCAGACATGATTATCAGGAATCAGCCGGTATAATGTGTTAAAACACTACAAATCTTATAGAGCATTGAATCAGACATCTAACATAGTTTTTAATTCAGACTGAAGCTCTGTCCACACTATAAAAAAAATCATTGTATACCCATATATGGTCATGATGTGCCTATATATTGCAATGATGTGATGTCATCATGACCATATTTAGGGATATCACATGTTTTGTCTGGACAGGACTTTAATATCTGATCAAACACACAGTGTGTATGGTATCCTTGTCTGTTGAAACATGGAGGTATAACATAAAAGTTGTGCAGAGCTCTAAATTTGATCGACTATTGGCTGTCGAGTCCAACAAAAAGCAATAACATAGCATGTATGTATATTTGAATATGTTTTTGATCCATGTAATTGTGGAGGGACGGCCTAAAAATAGGAGTCTCTAATGATATTAAACGTACCTAGCTACCAAATAAAGCATACAGTACAGTAGTTTTTTTGAAATATGAACTCAGGTTACAGATCTACAGATTAATTGCTAAGTAACTCTAAAGAATATTTGTGTAATCCACCACATTTTTAATTGACATTATGTTGCTATGATCCATATTCAGATTGGTACCTTGTGGGAACAAGAAATTCTTTCATTTTTAAGGGTCTGTTTACAGTAAACTGTTGCAGAGGATTTCCTTATTCCCATTATACTTACTTGCCAACATATTGATCCATTCCTTCTAACTCCGTAGTCACGTTTGAGATTTCATTTTCCAGTTCCTAAAAGAAATCAAAAATAAAAGAAAAGGAAACAATAAGAATAGTTACTGACCAATAACAGTTCATTAATGAAATTATTAATGAAAAAAAACATTGTTCAAAAGCCCTATTGAAAGATACTGTAGGTGATGGTTTAAATTATTTCAATAAGTCACGTTGAATGACTTTTAACAGTGAATATTGTACAGTAGATCACAATTTTACTTTCTAGTTCCCAGCAATTTCTTTTACTACCAGAAATATAGATTATAGTGTACTTTACATGAATAAAACATTAAGTGAACTACTGCAGACCATATAGTAACTATACCAGGAGAAAATTTGCAATAAACTTTTGTTAACTAATTGTTTTAAGTGGGTTACACAATAATGCCAGCAAGTTATATCTAAAGTGTTATATGCTTGAAAGAAAATAATACCTGATGTAAATTCACATGTGTTACTTGTACAGTAGCAGCTCATTTGAATATTAGCCACATGAGGTGAGCCACACAGTAGGTATTACGATACTGTATCATTATCGGTAGTTGGGCAGTGCCCGTATTTACCAGAGGTACATGAAATGTATCACTTAGTGATGCAAGTAATTATACCAGCATATTCTGCAAAAGGTAAACAGACTTGTGGGGAAGGAGATTGGCGAACCCCACAGAATCGCAAAGTTCATGCTCAAGCATGAATAAAGAATTGGCACTCTGCCTTCTTACTGCAAAGCTCTGGTTTTGGCTTCACGATTATCTTACACTGAGATAGTGAAAGCGAAAATTGAAATACAATGAAGATGCTGAATAAAACAACATTGCTACTTTTCGCTTGCTTTAAAAAATCAACATGATACTTGCAAATCTTAAACCTCACAGTATGAAACTTAGCATGTATTTGTAATTATAAATCAAAATTTAGATAAGATAAGATAAACATTAAATTGTACTGATTTGTTTCCTTCCTATAGATCTGATTTCTACTGTATATCGATGCTTTATCAAGTTTTGTTTAGATTTTAGTTAAAGTTGAATTCTAGTATTAGTTTCCATTGTATGGTGTTCAGTCCCCAATGTTAGGAAAAACTTACATAGTTTGAATGATCTACGGAAGAATACGGTAGAATACTAGCAAAAACAATTAGAGACAACGCGTAAATAATTAATCTGAGTATTATAAATACTATTCAATGTCGCACACTGTAGTTTAGGAGAACAGCATACTGTACAATATTTCATTATAGAATGTACTTTAATCAGACAGAGTGGCGTATACTTCCTCAGCTTAATGTTACATTAAAAATTAATGATACACCCTCATTTTTAGCCTAGAATTATATCTTCAACAAGAATTAAAATAAAACAAACAATTAATAATATTAACAATGTAATAATATTAAAGATAAAATATAGTTTGCAAAACAGTATAAAAAAATATTAGAGCTCATTTGCATACAGTGAAAAGTGAAGGTGAAATTTGCTGTGTAGGTGTTGTTTTTTTGTCCTTGACAAACAAGCCTTTAAATAGTGATCAATAATCCTAAACCTCTAATTTTATGTAAGTGATAAATAACAATACAAGATGCTAAATGTTGGAATGTCAACTCTAAGCAAAATTGGGATTTACAAAAAAAGATCCAAAAAGATAGAGTAAATGAGTTAGTACCCAAGTTGCGACAGGAGGCTAATCAAACTTGATGGATTTAGTAATCATGTTAATGTATTGGCATATTGCTGTAGTTGGGTAATAAATTGGTTTCTTATAGAGATACAGGCTCTTAGTTTAGTTATGCAAGTAAAGCATTTTTTTCTATTCTTTTTTCTCAAATGTATAATAAATTATAATTAACTTTCAGCTTTTTAAGAGTGAATGTTTTAGTACTTAGACATGCTAATTATTTTTAATAACCCTCAATACAGAATACAGTATGAAATTTAAAAACAGGCATCTAAAAATCATAAACTTTTCAAAATCAAACTCAAAATACATTTGGTGATTAAGACAATATGTTTGTATAGAAAAAAAAATATCTTTGATGAAGTATAATCTAACAAACCTAAACAATTCATTCATGAGCACTAAGTCTCAAAAGCTAGCAAAAAAAAGTGGCTATCAAACCTTACCCCTAAAACGGTGGCAAAGAGAGCAGCAATGTTCCCTGGAACGTCATTCCTTTGAAGCTTGTAAGGTGCTATAGAGGGACCCTTAATTATATGACCTGTTGGGTTCCTCACAACATCACCATGCAACTTTTTCTTCTCTTTCTTATGGAGCATCTTGCCAATAATAAACTTCCAAAAACGCTTAAAAAATACCCTCATCAACTCATCAAGAAAAAAAATAAATAATCCAAGGTACTGATATATTTCACTGACACATGTTGAATAGTAAATGAAACAGGCATTTATCAGTGAATGAATACATTGTGAGACTTAACGACTTTCTATAATAACAGCTCCTGACAGCGCTATATCCAGACTGAAGTAAATTAACAAACTAATGTAGTAGAAACAGTATCACGGTGATGTATCCAAGATTGAGGAAACGACAGTCTAATACACGTAGGAGTAATAACAGAAACAGTATCGTCACCAGACATCAACAAACAAGTGTATGAAATACCGCTCAACAGTAATAGTACACCTACAGACCGTCTCATCAACTGGAAGTGTAGATGAGCGAATAGAGGTCGTTGAGGGATTAATAAATGAGCGTGTAAGCAAAACACGCACCTTGAGAGTATTTCCTCGCGTGAAACCAACTCGTTAGTCAAGTGCTTTCTCTTCTATGCACTTTTGCGACGTCACGTCCATGATGAAGACCAACCTTTGCTCTGCGATAACTTCCTATTACCTCTAGTTTCCTGTACCGTGTAATAACTTACTTGAATAATTTACAGGATAGCTAGCTTTGTACATTTATTGTGTATACCATAGTATCTAAAACTTTTGAAAATTTGATTGAGAAACACTAGAGCTTCAAGTTAGAGATTTATTTCCAAAGCTTTGATCATCAATCAATCATTTTAAAATTTTAATGTCTTAATTCATTTCTGCTTGATTTTGAATCTAATGTAAATCTATCAACACTTAATTCCTGTACATATACAATGTGAGTGGAATATTGGTATTGGCATAAACAGAAAGATAAGCCATAAATCATTACTATAAAAAATCACAATATTATTTATCACTGTTTCTATTCTATGTTCTATCTAAACTTCATAGGCCTGCATCATATTATAATATTAAGAACATCTTCTATAAGAGTCAATATAATTTACAATGTGCATATAATTTTTTAAACAACCAGCCTAATGCTATCTCAAAATTGAGACCCTGCAAATGCCTTGTGTATTCTGTTTGTAACACCAATGTAATGAGCGCTATATAAATGCTCATATTATTATTATTATTTAAAGGAAATGTGGATGACTTGAAGTCAATCATATTTCTAGGCTCAAATATAATCTCATCTTCATTCTAGCAATAGTCAATCAAACAAAGTCACAACTTATGACTTAAAATTGAAAAGTTATCATCATGTTCACTCATTAATCTTTGGCTTAGAGATGCTAGCAATTCCTCTCATCCAGATTCATCAACATATAAACTACACAAAAAAACACCGAACTATGAACTACATACGAACAGGCGTATGGTAATCCCTCACGGGTGGCAAAATCGAGGCACATTTAATGCGTTGAAAGTGTAGCAGAGTAATCATTTTGCAGTGGTACCTGTTAGGTTACAGAAGGGCACTTGATTTAACACAGGTACTACATGTTCATAAAGTGACCTTGTTTTAAAAGACCTTGTGTGAGGTTCAAATCAATTCGATTTCCTTTGTAAGCAACGATTTTTTAGAGATAAGTGATAAAATTTCCGTAATGCATCAAATTAATCTAAAGTGTAGTTACTGGGGATAGGGTGTGCTTTTAAGGTTATATTTTATAATGCATAGTACTCTATCCTGTTGAAACTTGCACTGTACAATAAAAAATCATTTCATGAACACATTATTTTTTTTAAACTTTGATGAACATGTAAATTATTAAAAATAATATGTACGTAACAAAAATATAAATGTTATTATATTTGTTTTGTCCACATGATCAAATTTTCTTTGATAAAAAACTGTATATATTCATGTTGTGCCTCCTATATGGTCATGATGTGATGTCATCATCACCATATTTAGACATGTTGCATATTTTTGTAAAATTTGTCTGGACAAATCGTACCTGAATCTCTTTTAGGAGTCTTTGTTTTGCACGGCGAATTTCTTCTAGAAGCTTCAGCTCCTCTGTTGTCAGGTCTGTAAAATAAACAATAATTAAAACATACGATTAACTATGAAAAAATATTTAGTACGGTATAAATATATTTAATTTTAAATTTTAATCTCTTACCTGAACCATACAGTTAGTATTTAACTTTTAAAAGTAATTCTTTAAAAGCAAAAAGAGAGGGAAATGAAGATGATGGTATGCCTTTAATTTGTATGTAGAAAGTTCAAAATACTATTAAAATACAACTCAAGTGGATATTAAACCAAACAAAACCATCGCTATACACACAACAACTCGGATGGTTGGATAGCTAATAATACAATAAATATTTAGTTCACAATATAAGCTATTAGAATAAAATAAGCTATTATTTGAAAACCATCTGGTAGAGGGCAGAGGCCTTTCCAATTTTCAAAAAAGCTTCCTGTGTTAAATTTGAGGACATTACAAATCTGAAAAAAAAGTTGCTATCTCAACAAGTGAGGGCGACAAACAATTTTTTTAACATCTGAACTGTTTGAAATTTATTAAATACAGTTATCTCCTGTATTATGTTACAGCAATTGTAAACCTATTTATATACAGTAGGCTATTTTATTACACATGTATATTAATTTGTTTTTCAAACTCACAAATTTAAGATTATTTGCGGATGTTTGTGGGTTTCATGTGGAAAAGTGTGTGTTTGATTAAATTACACTGAAACTACAGTACTGTAGTAAACCTGTTCATAAACTATCAGTTTGTCAAGTGGAATAAAATTAGAAAGACAGACAAACCTGAAAATGGCTTAAATCTAGACAAAAAGGAAAAGAAACCAACATTGGATGCAAGATTTAAGGGAAAATTTACTCTATAAACTTTATGTAAAGTTAAGCTTACTTCAGTAAGATGATATGGAACAGACAACATTTTTGTTCCAATTATTACCGAAGGTTGCCCAGGTACATATACTGTATGCTTAATGTTATCATTGTTTACTAATTAATGAATGTTTACTAACCATACGTAACTGTTTAGTGAATCAAAATTCAAACACTTTTGTGTAAATAATTACTACCTGATGGTTACTTTCTTTTATGATCTCTCTACTCTGATAAATCAAACAGCATGTAATTTAGGAAACTATTTTCTACAATCAGGATACACAACATCCAAAACTTCAATTTAATACTATTGTAATGCTGCCCCCTATAGTTTACATGAAATTTAATAAAACAGTGAATGAGAGCACGGATAGACCATTATACCTCCATGGATAGACAGAGTGGATTTGAAATAAAAACTTACCAGTTATCAAAGAGCTAGGAAGTGGGAACATATCAAACCAGATCCAATTCCTTCTTATAATATTCCAAGTAAAACAATGAAAAAATGAACTCCAGAAAATATCCAAATATCATCCAAGGTAAAAAATATCAGTCGATGACACAAATATTATTTACCCTACATGAAAGGTCAGAAATAATATTCCGAAAGAACTGGAGATTTTAAAGTAGTTTCAGAGGTTATTCCACTCAGTTTCCTCATTGAAAATACACACCAACTGACAACTGGAGGGCTTGGAAGAAACTGACAGATCCTTCCCCATGTGTGGCACTAGTTTCCTCAAGCTAAACTATTATTTCCTCTAGTCAAATTTCAACCAATCACAGGCAAGCAGAGACAATGGAAGAGGTGTTGTGTCCCTGGTAGTGTTCAATAACCAGATGTTAATTGATAAAACATCTTTTTACATGTGATTACATATATAGTATTAATTCTCTACGCCTGAAGGTAGATAGGAAGTACTGTTGCTTTGATGAAGTAGCAGAAGTTAAGGCTATGTTCACACACGGCGTAAGACTGGCGTGGCTTACGCCAGGCATAAGCAAATCCACGGATTAAAATTCCAAAGTGATCACACAAACGGCGTTCGTTAAACTAGCAGTAATATAGGCCTATGTGGAATAGTTTTCAGTTTTAAATAATGTACGTGTTGACAGTAGTAAAATTAACAGTGCATCATTAAATCTGTGAATTGTTCGAAGTGAACTTATATGATTATTGTATTTTAAATGAACAATTTTACTTTTGATTTTTCAGCTAGCATTGTTGATGTTGCATGTTTTAATAGACAGTCTAAATGGTTAAA